CCCGCAGAGGCTGCTGCAGAAAATCAGTAAGGCTAAGGACAGGAAAAAGCAAACAAGCAAAAAAAAAAAAAAAAAAAATCAAAGTTTTAACAATAACGCTGCACAGTCCAAAAACTCCAGGCAAGCCCCAAGGGCACTCATTAGAAAAAAAGCCATCTCTCTCAGGAAGCTGAAGGTGGTCCCCCAAGGGAAACCTTTCTACAACATGGATGGAAAAGTTGAGCGATAGGAACGTAGAGGGTCCTCTTCAACAGCGTGTGAAGAACCCTAACGAGGAATCGGAACACGGGCAGAGCATCCTCCAGCACGGGTCTCTGCCCAGGCTTGACTGGGAGCAGTTACACCGCTGCGAAAAGTTGAAAAGCTGGCATTAGGCTCTGGCTCCATTAGCAGGGATGAACGTAATGGTAATTTGCAACTCTCCAGGTCAAATCCTGCCCCAGTGTGATCTCCATCAGCACAGGCTTTTCATCCCTGAAAAATGATCTCAGCTGCAGGTGAGAAGACCCAGACTGCAAACAGCCCTCCCAGGGAGGGTGCCCCACGTAGGAGCAGGCGAAGGAACCCTTTGTTTCAGTGGCGGTGGAGCCCCAGGTGGTTGTGAACCCTTCCCTCCTAGCGCAGGAACCTCCCTTGCAGTGCTGTGGTCACGTCCTCTGGAGGACCCGCATCAAATGTCTCTCTGGGTGTTGTGGGGAGGGCTGGCAGATGAGAGTGGGAAGCCTGGAGGTCACAAGAAAGTCACAGAGCAGATCCCATGACTGATGCCTGGGGTAACCAAAACATGCGAAGAGCACAAGGCCTTTTAGCCCTGGACCGTTTCACAGGGGCTGAAATCTCTCAAATTTTCTTCCCTGTAGGCTTTCCGCAGTCCCTGTTGAAGCCTCCAACAGGTTGTGGTGGTCGTCAGACTTCACAGAAGCCTGTGAGAGCTGCATAGGGCCCCAGTGCTGACCCAGAGGCGGCCAGACAGCATTCCCTGCCGGGATGGGAGCCGGCAGGCTTCCTGGGAAGCAGCCAGCACCCTTGCAGGGCTCAGGCTCTTACATTTTCCCCAGCAGGAGGAGGTCAGATGTTGGTACGCCCATAGTGTGAACGTGCAGATGAGCAAGCATTCAGACAAGGAGCGTATTCCCCCTTCTTTCAAGAAAGGGCTGGTTTTAGGACAGCCATTTTCCCTCGGGCAGGGCAGTCCTGTGGTGGCTAACCAGGGCAAGCCAGAAGTGCCGCAGTTTGAAGTGACAATAAACAAAGACGCAGAGAAACCTGCAAGGCGACACCCATCTTCAGGTAATTCATGCCTGACCCACAACATGCGTACAGGAGATACATACCATAAATGACTATTCCTTACAAAATGAAACGCTGGCTGCGTGACTCTCCACGACTTCAGCAGGCAGGAGGTTCTCTGAACAGCCCCTACACACATTCCAGTACAGTTGCACCACGGTATCCAGCAACAAACGGTACTTTAACGAGGGAAGATGGACTGCTGATGAGTAACGAGTCGATACCCACGCACAGACCCCAGGAGTCATCCACGTTCACTTTCTGCTCTTGTTAATTGCCTCGGTGTGCAATGACCTTACCGGCTGAAAAATATGAGTAGGGCTCTACAGCACAGAAGTCATCACTTTGCAGTGAAATGAAGGCAAATTATTTACCCAAAGCGAAAACCTTGGCAATGCTAACGGAACTGGAAGCAGTTAAATTACTGCAAGAAAATCAGACAATTTACCATGTAGCCTTACAGCTCAGTGAACACTTAAAGCTGGCACCACGGGGAGGGGAAGAAGCCTCCCTCCACACACTGGCACAGTGTGTGCGGGACAGCCTGGTGAGCTGGATTGGGAGCAAACACTGCTGAAAAATAAAGGTTGTTTTGGCTAGATCAGTTCCTTGATCCAGTTCACTGCACCAAGATGTGTGCTGGCACTAGAAAAGGGCAGTCTGGAGGTGATAACGTGTCCTTTAACAAGTGCCAGTTTGAAGAGGTTGCTGGTCTCGGGCTGCAGTTAGTCTGCTCCAGCAGAGAGCCCCGAGGTCTGCTCTCCATCCTGTGCCGCGGAGCTCTGTTCACCCCTATTTCCTAAAAGGTTTCAGGTCAGCACTTTCATTGATCTGCAGGGGCTGAACAGGCAGTGCTATAAATAAAGAGCAGTTAATCAACTATTTAAGTGCCCTTTTTTCTGAAATAAAGAAAACATGCAGAAATGATGTCAAGATGGGGAAAAAAAAAGAAACCAAACCAGTGAGTGAATACAGATACAATCCGAGAGAGCGCTCCCTGGGACACACTTCAGGCTGAAGAGGCTCCGAGAAGAGCTGTGCTGGCTGTTGAGTCAGCCTCTCCAGTGCTCCTGTGCTGACTCACCCCCTCCCAGCCGCCAGCGCACGCTGCGCAGTCCATTCAGTGCCAACAGGAGTTGTTTGTTCAGAGTTCAAGTGCATCTGATTCATCACGAGCCATCAAGCTGCTGCAGCCCTCGGAGCTCCGTCTCGCACTGCCGTTCTCCGCTGGCTGACCTGCTCCTGTTGCCCCCGGGAGAAGAGAGACCCCCCCCGACTCAAGTCCTTCTGGGTCTTCCCTTCTTCCCTCTGCTCCTGGCTCTGGGATAGAAACACGACTTACCTTTTAGGACCAGAGTAATGTGCAGATTCACCATCAAGGCCACGAGGTCTATAGGCTACCTCTAGCCACAAGAAGCAGGTCCCTGGCTTTCCCTGCTGCAGCCTAGGGAGAAAGTTTGCGGTTTTCTTTTTTTCTTTTCCCTTCCCCAGACCTGGCTTGGGAACGCACTACGCAGCCTGGCTCTTGCAAATGACGCTTTTCTAGAGGAAGATGCTAGGCTCTCCCAAAACCCAGGAACGGGAACAAACGAGGTGTTTGCTAAACACCCTCCAGGAACACAACACTGCAGTCTCTCTTTCTCAGGCACTTGCTCTTCACAGAGCCTTAGACAGAAGGATCCCACACCTTGCAGACTTTGTAAACCCTAAGAGACTTGCTTTTCCAGTTGTCCCTCCCACAGTATCCGCACCTGTGGTGCGGCGCTCTGGTATCTCCACCAGCTCTCGGAAACCACGTAAGATGCAAGAGCTGGCAGATCTGGGATCGACTGAAAAGCCGTGTTAGGCACATGGGATCCCACATCAGGAAGCAGACCTTTTGCCTGACCAAACGCAACCGGAGCAGCCGGGACACAAGCCAGCACAAAGCCTTAACAAACACCTGCCCTGCAACCCGAAACCTGCCCCGCCACGTGGCCTCACGTCCCAGCCCCACATGCCAGGAGTCCTCCAACCCAAGAGACATCGGACTGACGCTCAGGAAACCTTTCTCTAATTCCCCTGCTCCCACGGGTTTCCTGTGTGACCTTGGTCTGCACGGCTGTGTCTCGGAGCCTTAGGGTGTTATTTTGCGAGTAGAACCGGCTTAAGCTTCTTCCTTCCTCCCACCTCCACAGGGTTAAAGCGAGAAAGCAGCAAACGCTAGCATGGGGCAAGAAGAAAGAACTACTCTGAAAGCTGGTCTCATTGCCGTGGGGCTCAGGAAGTTACACCTCATCTTCTTCAGCTGTGAAAGGGGTATTACCATCTCCTACATTGTGTGACACAAGATACAAAGGACGAGGAGAAACATTAAAGATGATGAGATTCTCTGAAGATGAACCTTGCCACATCTTGGATTTGGTAATGATGAACTCCATACCTCTCCCGTTTTACTTGGTGAAACGGGTCAGAATTAAAAGTATAAAAAAAAAAAAAGCCTATGAAATCTGTTTGCAGCTTGACTGAAGCTCCACTTGCCAGCACGTAAGAGCGCGCCACTGACCAGCGTACAGCCAAAGTGAGGAATTGTGTTATTGTCCAAGGACAGCTGAAGGCTGAACCTAAATTCTGAGATTTCAGAGTAGGCGCCCAGGCAGGGAACCAAGTAACAACAGATAATCAGACAACAGCCAGAGTTACCAAATGACCAAAATCAAAGAACAGCTTTTATTGGCCAAAATAACCAAGAAACCATTTCTTCCAATAAACAAAAACTGAAACAGTGGGAAGTCTTTCCTAACAAAATGAAACACTAACAAACCCCACAGAAACTTAACTGCTTGCGTTCATCCTCTGGAAATACTCCTCCTCCTAAGTAAATTTGTTTTTCTCTTTAACCCTACTGCACCACCAGAAGTAGGAGAAGAATGGCGAAACTCAGAGTCCTTTAGGACAAGAGAACACACACCCTGGGAGGTGTGAGTCTCTCCATTTACACAAATGAAAGAGGCTGTTGGTGTTTGCAAACATCTCACATGCAAATTATGTGAAACTAGTAATTTCCCCTTTTCTGAAGATACAAACATTTTACTACATGAACTATAGTTTTGGTGTGGGTTTTTTCTTTAATCCCAGGACACAGGTACAGCTGTGGCCTACATAGGTTGTTAAAACTCAGACGCTACCTGCAGTTTATCAGTTAACGCTTCTCTATTTGGAAACCTTGGTAGTTAAAAAAAAAATAAAAATTGGTTACACCGAGTTCTCAAGGCAAATGATCATATTAAAACTCAACATTTACTCATGTCAGTAAAACAAATACCAGCCAGTGAAAGCAGATGTTTGAGAAAACCTTGCTCTCCCTGGTAACAGAAATCTTGGAGGAAAGGAAAAAACAAAAGAGAGAGAGAAAAAGCGCGCGATGTGCCCGGGTGCAACACTCCAGTTCCAATGGAGACATTCTCAGGAATATTTTCACTAATTTCTCAGCGAAGGGGGATACATTAACAGAAGCCATTTAAAAAGATCTGTTATGCAAAAAACAGTTATGCAAATCTGTTCAACCTACTGGCATAGGTGAAAATTGAAGAAACAAAAAGGCAAAAAAAAAAAAGTGTCTTAAAAAAATGTATAGATATTTACACACTGTGTTTTTTAAAACATCACATGGACCTGCACTGAGCTGCGTGCTGTGCACACGTCCCGAAAGGGGTGTGCGCAGGGGCAGCTGAAGCACATCACTGCCGGAGCAGTGAAGCAACACTAGAGAACTAACGAGAATTTGAGCTCATGGGAGTTAGCGACTACTATTGCTGCTGTGCGCAGAACGGCACCCCGCGTCCTGACAGAGGAATTCCACTGGAACCAGAGAGCCTCCTGCCCTAATCTAGACGTGATTTTACAAAACATTTTGAGATCTAACACCCGTACTACACCTTTTGTAAGAAAATAGAGAGCAGCTTTCAGCTGCAGTTCTTCTAAACTACTGTAGGAAGGCTTCGCTAGCATGCTTCCTAAATTGGCAACCATCTGAGGTAATCAATGATGCTGTTAAACCGAGCATCCTTCATTTCTCTCCACCCACACCAACTGTTGCTTCCTTATTGAGTCCTCTGATTGACAAGTCGTAAACCACTTCCTCAATTTTCTTGACATCGTATTTCAGGCCATCGTAACGTTTCCTCAGGGAGTCGTTCTTCAGGTTGAGGAGACGGAAGCCAGAATCCAGCTCATTGATAAAAGTTGAGATGCGGAGAGGGCGAGAATAGTCACCGGCCGTGACGCTGTTGACTGCCAGCCTGGCCTACGGGAGGAAGGCCCACAGGAGAACATCAGCGGAGGAACCCACCCAAATCACGTCGCTATTCCCGTCAGTTCCTTTACCAAAGGAAGCAGTTTTGTTCCAGGCAGTCAGGTTACTTATACTCAGATCTACCTTTTTGTTGACCATAATCCTGGATTTTCAATCTAGTGACTAGTTTAAATCTTAAAATATCAGTGAGGATCACCTCTGGCATACAGAGAGGCAGTTTGCTAGAAGTTCAGATCAAGGCGTTATGTATCATAACTTCCAGGAACAACTTGGGAAAGTTAGAAAACTAGTCAGTTTCAATCCAAATGTATGCATGAATATCTTCCTTACCAGCTCACTGGCGAGAGTTAATACACCAGAAAGATAGTCTTCAATGTCCAGGTGAAAGCCCCGCTCTCGATCAGCTTCAACTAAGATGAAAAAGAGAGTGGTAATCAGGTGGTACTGAACGCGAGCAAAACCAGCGAGTTGAAATTGCATTTGTTTACTGGAGCTAATTTGAAATATCAAATTTATGAAATATTATTACAAAATAAAAGTCAGCCTTTTCCTGTATGTGATGTAATTACTGCCTCTTCTCAGCATTTTGATTTAGCATCTCGTACATCCTCAACCGGACGTGCAACAGCTTATAACTGATCCAGCAGAATAACTGAATTTACATCAATATACAAGAGAGGGGTCTGTAGGCATTTTTTAGAAAAACATTTTCCCTTTTCTTTTTTTCCCCAAATGCTTTGCTCTGGGAGGACACAATTCTCTTACAGCATCAGAATTTAATCTGTTTTCCACACTTTTTAAACACCAAAAGCAAAAAAAGTGAGAAAAATAAACTCTCATCTTTATATTATTCTTTTGGTAGATTTACGCAACTTGAATGAATAATCTTCATTGATGAGGAACTTGTTAATGAATAAATACTTTTGTTTACATTAGGTTTGCTGATTTCCACCTTCTAAAAGAATTTGTTGTTTAGGTAATGAAATCAAATACCAGATAAATTTTGGAACCTGTTTCCTGGGAAGAAATGAAGTTCTGCTGTTTCCCTGTAAGCTACAAATCTAAAAATGTCACCAGCGTTTTCTCCTCAGTTACAACATTAACTTACTCCCAAGTATTTCTGCAACAGCTTCTCGGGTCACTAATGTTTCTGACTCCAAGTAGACTAAAAACGCTGCCAGAAACACCAACCGCTGAAGTACAAACCTCCAGTGCTCATGAAATCTGTTGAAGAAAACACCAAGTCAAGGCATAAATAAGTAACACCTATTGCTGGAGAGACAGACAACAAGCATACATTATGTATACTTTATGTTTTCCACCTTTACACATAGCACTTTGCAATATTTTTGGCTTATCAAAATGACACCAGCTTAAAGTCATCTCCTTGGTACTCCAGAACTTCACCCCCGGATATGACACTGGATGCTAGCACTTGCTCGCGCCTCTCACACACCTACTCAGCTCACAGAGTTTTTCAGGTTGTTGTGCCCACGAGACAACCAGGGCTTTCCCTCCCATCTTCCCTCAGCAGATCTGAGCTGACAAGATTCCTGTTCTTTGAAATGCTCTTGCTAGACACTGTCCCCTTCTGGCAGCAAACAAAACACAAAGGTGACAACTTCATTTAGCATCTGCGGTGTCCAACAGCCATTTCATGAGAGATTTAGAGCTCTGTTTTCAGAAATGCCCCACACCTAACTTAACTGAAATTAATGGAGCAGCAAATGCTCTGCTCCCAGAAACAAGGGCAGCTCCAATAGAACATCAATTTCTTAAACCTTCCTTTTTGTTTTCTAAGAAAGCTTCTAGAAAAAGAATTTAATACTGGGTATTTTTAGTGAAAAGTGATAAATAGAGTGTTTGAGTAAAAGCATTTTTTATCTGTGCTGATAAAAACCTCACACTTCTCTACCATGATTTACTTTTCAAACAGAAAGAAGCGTTGAGCCATAAACCTTTAAATCATTCTTCCAAAATAATGATGCCAAACATGCCCAGAGAATTCCCATATCCATGTCTGGCTGCATGTGATCCTGCACACCTGTAATACTGATCAGCAGGGAACTTGGTCTTCAGAGATTCCAGCTGTGTTCTCACTGTACCAAAGTGTTCTCGAGCCTTCTGACATTTCTTTGGTACTGAAAAACAAACAGCACAGCATTCAGTACTTGACAGAGAACAGGGTTTTGTAAACAGAGTTTTCTAACGTAGACAGCACTATGTATGCTCCTTTCTTGTCCCAGATAGTCTGCTGACATTCGAACCAATCTGAGAAATATTCATTGTCGCACCATGAGTCACACAGGTAGATGAGAAATACTCCTGAGTTTTGGGCTGTCTAATCTGCTCTAGTCCTTAGTTTTGAACTTGAGACAAGAAGCCCCGGTGTTATTTAAGAATCACTGCTAATCATGACTAATAACTGCTGCTATAAAACTTATGTCATGGACGAAGAACCCATTCTGTAATGGGCACTGACAGAAGAAAACACTGGAAAGGTCACACAGCCTACAGACCAAGAGGCAGCGGGGGATACAAACGGACAGAGGCAGGAATGGCAGAACACCGAGTCGATGTGGTGCCTGCCCGTGGACTGAACCAACGAGCGGCAATTTTGTTCGAGGGTCTATTAAATACAGAAGAGCTGAGACGACAGCAACAGATACTGGGGGGCGAGGGAGGGAGCCAGCAAGAGCAGTGACACGGTTACAGCCCTGTGCTACAAGCCCACCCAAGCAGCAGCGCTCTGGAGTGGCAGGGCTACGGGCGGCACCGCAGAAGGAAGGACGCAGCAGAAATCAGGCGTGAGCTGATAGCAGGACTGTTTGAGTTTTACCTGCGTGGATGGAGCAAGAGAAAGGGGTGGCCAGCTGGGCTGCACAGGCGTTACACAAAAAGAAACAAAATGTTCAGGAGAGCGCCCTAATGCAGCAGGTTAGAAGAAAAAGCAACAACCAGACCACAAGCAACAGAACAGCACTGCGCACAGCAGCTGGCCCCAAAGAAAGCACACACACCAAGCAGCACCGCCAAACGACTCGTACAGCCAAAGGAAAAGCAACTTTTCTTTCTCCATTTTAAAATCTTATGATTTTTTTTTTTCTTATTGATCAGAGTTAGGCTAGATGAGGTGCAACATCCCTTCAGGAAACTGCATTTCCTGCTTTAAACAATGTATTTGAAGAAACTGGGTTTCAGCCTGTCCAATGCACGTTGTACCTCTGCAGAGAAATGGTCTCGTTTCTGTACCACCCAGTGCCACCTCCCGTCTACTGACAGGAGTTACAGCCACACTGCACCCGCAGTACCAGGGCCCCACAGAAATAATCAAACCAGTACTTCTTAACTGCAGCCCGCTCAGAAATCCTGGTCACGACCCAAGGAAGGCAGAAGATCAGCCCGACAGGCTCTCCTGCATCTTGATGTATAGAAGCTAGGATTATTTAAACAAGATCCATAGAAGCCAAATCTGAAAGCTGTGATGAATTATTTTTATCAAACAAGCCCTACTAGGAGTCACTTAAGTGTGTTTAAAAACTTTCCATTAATAAAACATCAATTCAATGTAAAAAAAAAAAAAAAAAAAAAAAAAAAAAGGAGCATTTAAAAGCTTCAGGAAGCAGAAGTTGAAAGTGCTCCGTGTGGCAGCCAGAATGAAGGAAACGTGTGCAGCTCACTGACAGCTGCCCTTTGAACACTCTCCTCGAGCTATGGTCTCTGCCTCCGTCGTGGAAGCCGTCACGTGGCAGCTGGGGACAGAGTAAGGCACAAATTTGCATTTTGGCTTCTGCCAAAGGAACCTGGGACAAAAATACATGATCTTTACAGTAAAGTTTCAGTCAACAGCACCCAATGATGCACACGTAACCTCCCAACTTCAAACTATACTCGTGCATCCTTGGATATCCCCACTGATGTTTTGCTAAACTTGACACGACGTGTTTCACGAGCAAAGACATAATAAGTCAACTTTCAGCCTCCAAAGACCCTACCTAACAGCAGACTCATGTCAGCTAACAGCAGGCTGCAGCACACGCTGCCCCAAACAGCTTTCCAAGCAGTTCTCAAACTCCATTTTGGACAGGGAGCAGAGGAAGCTGAGAGAGAGATCCTCTGACCCTATTCCGACAGCTGCCGGCCTGAGGCTCTGCTGGTTTTCCTTCCCATCCCCACAGCTGAATAAAGGCTACGACTGAAAGCACTTGTCCCACAGCTAAACACAGTCTCATGCTTGGCGCAGGGAGAGACCACAGAGAAGCCGGCTCTGTGAAACAGCTGTTGTCTGTGGGTAGGGGGCTGCCCCACACGGAAAGAGGTTAGATGAAAAACTCAATGAAAACAGGTTTAGCCAAGAGGTATTTTAAGTCCCCGGAAAACAGAGGAAAGGCATTGTGCAAGATAACGTTTTAAATACCACCGGCTAGCACAGGGAACTGCCCTCCATCGAACTTCCAACTATCCGGTAGTTCTACTAACAGAGCTCGTGCCACCCCTTACCTTTCTCTTTGGTAGGATGGATTGCTCGGATGGTGCAAACCCTTTAACTGTTTTCACTGGCTTTCTGTTGTCTCCTTGAGTTTTTATCCCTCTACCTCAATTGCTGATGCAAGAATAATTACAAAGGATCAACCAGCAGGATGCCTTCTGCTGGTTGCGGGAGAAAGAAAGTCGTCTCCCGCTGATGCTGGCACAAGGGAGGGGGCACAACAAGCAACACAGCCTCTGTTGGCAGCAGCAGCACCAGCTTAAACCATCCACAGCAATACAGCTGCAGTCACTAATCACTGTCACCTGTGAACTTGTAGTAATTAATAGTATTTTTGCTTTTTTATTAATTAGTTATTAGTTTATATAGTTTATCATTTAATATTTTATAGTTCAACATAGTTTATTAATAAAGTTAATAGTTTTTCTTACAGGTTGGAATAAATAAATACAAGGCTAAAAAAATCTTGATGCTACAAAGTCCAGCCAGAACTTCGTTGCAATGAATAATCCTCTCTTTCATAGTTAAAAAAGTCATCATTTATCCCTTTTTCATCTACTCGGGAAGAATCATTCCCATTTCTTAGCAAAAATGTGGTCCTGATTCAACACAGGAGATGCTGTAGTAAGCCAAACAGCCTTTTAAGAGCACTACACTGCAGAACTACAGCCATTATCAAATAGAAGTGTAGTCTAAATATGCGACAGCTGACAAGTGCTCTTTATCCCCCTAACAATCCTTCTGTTAACTGGCATTATATCATTCTGCTGTAAACCTTTATTAATCTAAACCTTTATTGAGTTTCTTTATTACATTGTAATTGATGACAAACTGACAGGTCTATTATCATGAGTTAACTCCTAACCTATTAAGCATGTATTCATTATCTTTGGTATTACAAGAATTATAAGATGAGTCTTTAACTATTCCAAATCTCTTCTCAGACTCTGCAAGTTCCAGGACCAGCTCTCTCCCAGAATTAAAAATCAAGTGAAAATACACTGAGCCAGGCACTGGTCTCTACTATTAAATGCTGGAAAGCAACCCCTGAAGTGGATACCCATGCAAAACTGTCACAACGAGTTTCCAGGAAAATCAGAATGGTTGCTTCCTCTCAGGAGATATTCATTGACTTGAAAAAATAGCTTTTAAGTCACATATTTAAGGGAAAAAACTGTTTCTTCCAGTAGTTTCATCAGTAAGTCTAAAAGTGGGGATGGGGGAGCAGAAAGAGCACATTGGGTGTCTAAGGTCTGTGGTAGCATTCTCATGCCCTGCAGGAAGCAGGTTGGCTCAGAAACATTACATCAAACACTTTAAACGAATTTGGATTGAAAGCAAGGAACCAGGCTGACTACAACCCAAACCTCAAAAACAGCAGCACAATTCCAGTTGTCACTCAAATGTACATCAAGGACTGCTTCTGCTCTATCAGCCTTTGCAAATTCCCTTCATATTTTGGACTATTAAGCAGATTTTATATACACACACATAGTCAGTTTCATATAAACCAAACCAAAGCCCCTGCTTCCCACACCACCCTGAGCACCCCTCAGAGCACTGCAGCCTTTTGGGGGGCAGGGAGAAGAGGTGAGGAAGAAGATACAGATACAAAGGTCCAACAGGTCACGTTAGAATTAGCGGAATATAAAAATCTACGTGCGTGTCACTTAGTGGGAAACCTACGAGCCAATTTAACAACCCAGAAAACGAGCAGCTGTAAAAAGAACGCGCTCTTCTGCACTGAGACAGCGAGACACCGAGCTGGGGAGGGGAGAGGGAGGAGAGGAGAGCCCAGCGCCTCCGGAGGATGAGCGGCACCTTTTCTACTCCTCTGGCTGGAAGCCTCCCAGCTGCCCCCCCGCCGCCAGCAGCCCCTGAGAAGCCCACGCAGGGCACCCCCGGGGCGCC